GGGAAGACGGGCGGGGGGGGGGGCGGAAGGAATCTATGCACACTGCTCCTGCCTGCAAGCACCACCCCCTCAGCTCCCATTGGCCACAGTTCCCCGTTCCTAGCCAATGGGAGCTGTGGGGGCGCTGCCTCCAAAGAGGGGCAGCGTGCGGAGCCATATGCCCCCTGGTCCCCCCTGGTCCCCCCCAGGGGCCGCAGAGGCACGTTGGTCCCTTCCGGGAGTGGCATGGGGTCAGGGCAGGCAGGGAGCCTGCCTTAGCCTCCCTGCGCCGCCGACCTGGAGTCCCCTGAGGTAAGTGCTGCCCGGAAGGAGACCGCACCCCAGTCTTGACCCCCGCCTCCTGAAGCCAGTACCCCATACTCCCTCCTGCACCCCGAACCCCCCAGCCCTGATCCCTCTCCTAGAGCCAGCACCCCATAGCACCCTCCTGCACCCTGAACCTCCCTGCCCCAGCCCAGACCCCCCTCCCAAAGCCAGCACCCCATACACCCTCCTGCACCCTGAACCTCGCTGCCCCAGCCCTGACCCCCCTCCCAGAACCAGCACCCCATACCCCTCCTGTCCCCTGACTCCACTCTCAGAGCCAGAACCCCATACCATCCTCCTGCCCCCTGAACCCCCCTGCCCCAGCCCTGCCCCCCTCCCAGAGTCACGCACCCCATACCCCTCCTGTCCCCTGAACCCCCCTGCCCCAGCCCTGACCCCCCTCCCAGAGCCAGCACCCCAAACCCCCTCCCCCTGCCCAGACCCTCTCCCATACCTCCTGCACCCCAACACTCTGCCGCTGCCCAGAGCCCCCTCCTGCACTCAAACTCCCTCCCAGAGCTTGCACCCCTCACCCCAACCCCCTACCCCAGGCTCAGCCCGGAGTCCCCTCCCACTCTGCAAACCCCTCAGCCGCAGCCCAGAGCCCGCACCCCCTCCCAAACCCCAATCCCAGCCTGGTGAAAGTGAATGAGGGTGGGGGAGAGTGAGCGATGGAAGGGGTAGATGGAGTGAGTGGGGTGGGGTTTTGGGGAAGGGGTCGATCCTGGGTTGCCCTTAAATTCAAAAAGTGATCTTGTGCATAAAAAAGGTTGGAAACCACTGGTCTAGATATCTAGATAATACTTAGTCCTGCCATGAGTGCAGGGGACCTCTGGCGATCCCTTCCAGTCCTACGATTCTATCACTGATATAAAGCTGAGATCTTATCTAGACAGTGAAATCTAAGGTGCCTGTACTACTATCAGCCACCAGGTACTGGGACATCCATTTTCAGACACCCAGGATATCAATCTCCCCATGACTGTTTTGGGAAGGGAATTGTATTAATTTTCTTTTCCGATGGTTTATCCCCCAACGATTCCTATAAAGTCTTCGGTCAAGTGATACTGACAATGCTCAGTAATACGGGAGGTGGGGGGTGGGATATGGGGGGGGGCGTTCTGCAAAGTCAGTTTCATGCGCTGCAAAGCAGATTTGTGCTACTGCAAAATCTTGACAGCAGGGAGTGCAGCTCATATCTGTGTTTCTTAAACATCTAAAAGGCACCGAAGTTTTTAAAGGGGCCCGGGAGAAGAGGAGAGGAGGTGGCGGGGGGACACCCAGGCCTAAACCCTCCACAGCAGCAGTGAGCAGGGCCTTTTCGGTGAAAATAAATGCCAGATGTGTAGTGGCAGTAACTGAAATGGCCTTTTCTCCCCATCTCACACAATTTCCTTTCTGTTCCCCCCCCCCCGAAAAATCCCCTACCCCCCAAAAGTCAAACTCCTCTTCAAGCCCAGCTATCTGTAACCCAATAAGGATATAATGTCCAGTGCTGGACTTTGCTAGTGATGTGAAATGCGCTCCAGTACTAGGGTGCTGGCTGTCAATTTTAAACTAGAGGGATGCCTAGATGGGGAGCCAGGGGGTGGAGGAGAGGGCAAGAGGGAAATAACTGATTGGGAGGGTCTGGGGTTAAAGGATCCAGGGGTAAGACGCCCTGGAAATAGGGACTGAAGCTCCATTCTGTATCCACAGGAAGTTCAGAGTAGCTAAAGAGTTGACAGTGGTGGGATTCAAACCCACACCTCCAAAGAGATTGGAGCTTTAATCCAGCGCCTTAGACCACTCAGCCACACTACCAGCTGTGAAAAAAGACAGCTGCCTGCTCCTCTCCCTGTGAGGGCTTGTCTTCACTGCTAAATTAGGTCAACAGTGTAAACTGGAGGAGGGACCCCTCAGCAGCTCAGGGGAGTTTCTGGTAACAAAAAGAATTTCTTGCTCACGAAGATGCAGTAGAGAATCTGATGATTTCAGGAGCCTGGGGAAATGGACCTGGGGAGACAGGTCAGGTTGCTAGGAAGATAACAGGATGCTGACCCCATCAGGAAAGGGATAGATAAGAAGACAGAAAAGATCCGATTGCCTCTATATCAATCCATGGTAGGCTGGAAGGCGTTTGCAGCTGTCCCTCCATCCGTCTGGGAGGGAGGCCACGCCCCCTTGCTACAAGTTCCCTGGTAGGGCCCAGTTCGGGGGGAATTAGCACCCTAACTCTGCGGGGTAGCACAGTACTGAGGGTAGGGGGCCCTGGCCCTCTGACAGGGTGGGGCACCAAACACTTAGAGCCTCTGACCTTCAATCAGGGTAGGGCAGCAGTGTCCATAAGCGCCGGCCCTCAGGCAGGGCAGGCCAGCAAAGTCAGGAGGCTCTGGCCTGTATTCAGGACATAGATTCATAGATTCTAGGACTGGAAGGGACCTCAAGAGGTCATCGAGTCCAGTCCCCTGTCCGCATGGCAGGACCAAATACTGTCTAGACCATCCCTGATAGACATTTATCTAACCTACTCTTAAATATCTCCAGAGATGGAGATTCCACAACTTCCCTAAGCAATTTATCAGATCAATACTGCGTCTGTATGCCCAGACCCTCAAACAGGGCTGGGGGGTTCTGGCTCTGGCAGACTGCCAACAAACACAGGTCTCTTGGCCTATGTCGGGGAGGCTGCCAACCCAGGGGTGGGATGGCAGGGGTAGGGGGATGCGGGGCCACCCGACTGCACCACGTCCCAGCCCAGGACAGGAGGGAGACATCCTTCCCCTCTGGTGACTCGAGGTATTGCCTTTTATACTTCCGGTTCCTCTCCCACCGCTCTGCTTGCGTCAGGGCACATGTGGGTGTCCTGGCTCTGCCCACCGTGGAGGGATGGGGGAGGGCAGCTGGGACATGCCCCCTTGCTACACACATCTACATCTTGAATATGCATGCAGATGTGGTTGCCGCATCTCAAAGAAGATATATTGGAATTGGGAAAGGTACAGAGAAGGGCAACAAAAAATGATGAGGAGCATGGAAAAGCTTCCATATGAGGTGAGATTAATAAGACTGGGACTTTTCAACTTGGAAAAGAGACGACTATACATATACAACTATATATACAATATAACTATACATATGTACTATACAACTTGGAAAAGAGATGACTATACAATATAACTATATATATACACACAATGATGGGGTCTAAATTAGCTGTTACCACTCAAGAAAGAGATCTTGGAGTCACTGTGGATAGTTCTCTGAAAACATCCACTCAGTGTGCAGCGGCAGTCAAGAAAGTGAACAGAATGTTGGGAATCATCAAGAAAGGGATAGATAAGAAGACAGAAAATATCATATTGCCTCTATATAAATCCATGGTAAGCCCACACCTTGAATACTGCATGCAGATGTGGTCACCCCAGCTCAAAAAAGATATATTGGAATTGGAAAAGGTTCAGAAAAGGGCAACAAAAATGATTAGGGGTATAGAACGGCTTCCGCATGAGGAGAGATTAATAAGACTGGGACTTTTCAGCTTGGAAAAAAGGCAACTAAGGGGGGATATGATAGAGGTCTATAAAATCATAACTGGTGTGGAGAAAGTAAATAAGGAAGTGTTATTTACTCCTTCTCATAATTCAAGAACAAGGGGCCACCAAATGAAATTAATAGGTAGCAGGTTTAAAATAAAAACAAGAAAGTATTTTTTCACGCAATGCACTCTCAACCTCTGGAACTCCTTGCCAGAGGGTGTTGTGAAGGCCAATACTATAACGGGGTTCAAAAGGGAGCTAGATAGATTCATGGAAGATAGGTCCATCAGCAGCTATTAGCCAGGATAGGCAGGAATCATGTCCCTAGCCTCTGTTTGCCAGAAGTTGGGATTGGGTGACAGGGCATGGATCACTTGATGATAACCTGTCTGTTCATTCCCTTTGGAGGGGTTCAAAAAAGAACTAGAGAAATTCATGGAGGATATTAGCCAGGATGGGCATGGATGCAAAACCATGCTCTGAAGTGTCCCTAGCCTCTATTTGCCAGAAGCTGGGAATGGGCGACAGGGGATGAATCACTTCCCTCTGGGGCACCTGGCATTGGCCACTGTCGGCAGACAGGATACTGGGCTAGATGGACCTTTGGTCTGACCCAGTATGGCCGTTCTTCTGTTCTTAGAAAGTGTGTGAGGGGCATTGAAGATCCAGATGGGGAATGTAGGAGAGGGAGCTGGGGGGGAAAGTCTGGGGGGATTTGAGCTACATCAGGAATCACACAGGGGTGCACAGGATGGGGTGGAGCAGGATGGGGAGTGAGTCTGGGGTCCCAGCTCACAGTAATGTCCCGAGCTCCCCAAGTCCCACTGACAGCTGAGCTCTTCCTGCCCATTGAAGCCTGGAGAGACAGTGGGTGGTGGGTGAATTTGTTCCTCAAATAACTGACAGAGCCAAGCAAGGAGCAAAGAAATGTTTGCTTCAGTCAACAGGTCTCTGTTTCTGTTGCTCATTCTCTCTCTCCCCTTTGATAATGAGCAACAGGAAGAGAAGAAGAGGTTGAAACATGTGCTAAGTGGTGGCTAGGTTTGGATGACAAATTTAAAACCATCACAGCGCCCTCTAGTGTGACACTGACACTATCAGATTCTGACCTTTCACTGACACTTCACCGATACATGTTTCCCTGAAGTACGTTGCTATGATTATTTCAATGGCCCCTACACCGATACCTACTGCCCCTTCTGGCTGGTTCATTGTGCTATTTGGAATCTGCACCTAAAATTACCCCCTTCCTGGGAGCAAGACTCAGAACTGCCCAAGGAAACCCCATTGGGTTTCAAGTGCAGCACAGGCAGGGAGGTGAGGGGACAGCAAAGGGGTCTCTGAGCTCCTCCTTTGTCACAGGGAGTGGGGTCTAGTGGGCTAGAGCGGGGAGGGGGGCTGAGAGTCAAAACTCCTAGGTTCTAAACCTGCTAATGTGAGGACAGTGGGGACCAGTGGTTAGAGCTCAGGGGTGGAGGCTGCGAGTCAGAACTCCTGGGCTTTATTCCTGGTTGGGGGGTAGGGGTGGGGACTAGTGGGTTAGAGCAGGAGGGGCTGGGAGCCAGGACTCCTGGGTTCTATTCCTCATTGTGTGTGGGGGGAGTGGGGCCTAGGCTAGTGTGTTAGAGCGAGGGGGGCTGGGAGTCAAAGAGAAAACACCTCCCTTTTCAGCACAATGCACACTGAAGAAGCACAGGGCTTCTCATTCCTTAGGTTCTGGCACCATCATGTGGTCGTTTCATTTCACTTCTTATTGTTAAAAGTTTTGGGTACTTCACGCAGAAACGTTATTTCCTGGGGAGAGACAGAGGAGTGGAAGCTGCATTGATTTAATCCTCCGAAAAATAGATAAGGATTAAAATATTCCCCAGACAGCTCAGTCCCAACCGTTCCCCCTCGCTGCTGCCAGTGCAGCTCAGTTCTGCCCACAGCCCCAAGAACTGCGGGGTGCAAGTCCTGGGCCTGATGTGAAGTGAATTTAGGGATGGTGTTTGATTGTTTTTCTCATTTTAAATGTACTTGATCATTTCCATGGCAAAAATATTTGTACGACACCGTGAGAAAAGGAAGAAACCGTGAAAATACCCATGGGAGAGAGGAGGGTTTCTGAGAGCTGGGGTAGAGACGGAGATTTTCATGAAAGGGGGAGAGGCCAAAGTAGGGCCTTTAGCTGGAGCAAAGGGGGAGATTTTTTGTGCAGTTCCATTTTATCCAGCCTCAGATCCTGTAGTCCCTAGTGACCCCCCAACATGGGACCTAGAACCGACCCACTGGCAAAGCCACCTGTGACTCCTGAGACAGCCTCACTGGTCTGGCCCCACTGTAAAACTGCAGAGCCCCCCAGCACTCACTCTCCTCCTGGCAGCCAGAGTTCTCTGCAGAACTGCCATGGTTGCTCTCCTGGGTGTCTGGTCAAGGACAGCTACCGGCTTCTCCTGAGAATGCAGCTGAGAAATGACTCGCCCTTCTCTAGACTGTCTCCTGTGGGCTCTGAGAGGCAGGCTGGGGCCTGTATGATAAAGTTTTCAGGGTCCTTCCCCACTCTGAACTCTAGGGTACAGATGTGGGGACCCGCAAGAAAGCCCCCTAAGCTTATGTCTAGCAGCTTAGGTTAAAACCTGGTACGCTGCCACCACCAAGTGATTTAACAAGAAACAGGGAAAGGACCACTTGGAGTTCCTCTTTCCCCAAAATATCCCTCCAAGCCCTTAAACCCCCTTTCCTGGGGAGGCTTGAGAATAATCTCCTAACCAATTGGTTACAAAGTGATCAAAGACCCAAACCCCTGGGTCTTTGGACAATGGAAAAATCAGTCAGGTTCTTAACAGAAGGATTTTATTAAAAAGGAAGGGTAAAAATCATCTCTGTAAAATCAGGATGGAAAATAACTTTACAGGGTAATCAGATTCAAAGAGCCCAGAGGAACCCCCTCTAGCCTTGGTTTCAAAGTTACAACAAAACAGGGATAAACCTCCCTCTAGCAAAGGGAACTTCACAAGTTGAGAAAACAAAGATAAACTAATACACGTTGCCTGGCTGTTACTTACAAGTTTGAAACGTGAGAGGCTTGTTCAGAAAGATTTGGAGAACATGGATTGATGTCTGGTCCCTCTTAGTCCCAAGAGTGAACACCACCAAAAACAAAGAGCACAAACAAAAGCCTTTCTTCCCCCCACCCCCAAGATTTGAAAGTATCTTGTCCCCTTATTGGTCCTTTGGGTCAGGTTTCAGCCAGGTTACGTGAGCTTCTTAACCCTTTACAGGTAAAAGGATTTTGGTGCCTCT